CTAGACTCACTGTGTAGACAAGGCTGCTCTCTAACTCACAGAGATCTGCCTGCCTCTGCCTCTGCCTCTGTCTCCCTGAGTGCTGAGATTATATGCGTGTGCCATCACAATGGGCCTTTGATCCTTTCTTAACACTAAGTTCAGCTGAGATTTATTTCAAAATAAATTTCACCTTAAGAGCTATTAGATAACTGAATACTTAATGATTTCGAGAATCATGTTAATTAGTGAAATTGGCTTAATCAGGATTTCAAACTACTACAACCGACTCTTAGCATAAATCACATAGGTCTAGGAAACAGAGTGACAAGCTGGCTTAGGGCTTCAGTTGGTCTGCTTTACAGAGAAAAGGAAAGGTCATTTAATGATCAGCTTGACAAGATGCAATTAGAGAACACTCAAGAAAACATTCAGGCCCGTGGTAGCTCAGTAACCAAGTAGTTTTCCAAAGTAAGGGGAACAAAGACGATTTCTAACAGGATCTCAAGGGCAGGTTCTTTGACCTCCCCCCCGCCCCCCCGCCAGGGGAGGAGCAGTCCTGTTAGGCCACAGAGGAGGACTTTGCTGCCAGCCTTGAAGATACCTGATAAAACAGGGTCAAATGAAAGGGAAGGAGGTCCTCCCCTATCAGTGGACTTGGAAAGGGGCAGGGAGGAGACCAGGGAGGGAGTTAGGGAGGGGGAGGGAATGAGGGAGGGGGATACAGCTGGGACACAGAGTTAACAAATTGTAACTAAAAAGAAAAATAAAAATTAAAAAAAAAAGAAAGAAAACATTCAGGATGTCTGAATTATTCAAAGGTATTGAAAACTTTTATTGTTATCTATTCAAATCTAAGACTTGGGTCTTATATATATTTGGGATGTCTTTGTGCCAAAGACATAAAAACTTTCACTACATTTTCTAATATTATTGTTGGTAATGCTAAAAAGTTTAGAAAATTTCATAGGTGCTTTAAAATATATAAATATTGTTATAATTGATTGTGACTTTAATGTTTGTTTTATTACTATCATTGAGGAGTTCTCTCCCTTATGTATTTTAGTCATTTAAACTCCCCTATATAATTAATGTTTACAAACTACATATTTTTTTATCATTCTGTGGCTTAATATTATTTTTAGAAAAAGATGAAAATATCCCCAAAGAAATAACATAAAATTTTGCTTTTTTTAGTTTTTTTATTTAATTATTTTTATTAATTGCAGTTTATTCACTTTGTATCCATCCTGCACCTCCTCCCTCCTCCCCTCTCAGTTCCACCCTCCCTCTTCCCTACCTGTGTCCCTCTCCCCAGTCCACTGATGAGGGAGGTCCTCTTACACTTCCTTCTGATCCTAGTCTATCAGGTCTCATCAGGAGTGGCTGCATTGTCTTCTTCTGTGGCCTGGTAAGGCTGCTCCCCCTCAGGGGGAGGTGATCAAAGAGCAGGCCAATCAGTTCCTGTCAGAGACAGTCCCTGTCCCCATTACTATGGAACCCACTTGGACACTGAACTGCCCTAGGCTACCTCTGTGCAGGAGTTCCAGGCTATCTCCATGAGTGATCCTTGGCTGAAGTGTCAGTTTCAGAAAACATGCCCAGACTTCTTGGATCTCTTGCTGTCCTTGTGGAACTCCTGTCATCTCCAGGTCTTACTATCTCCCACTTCTTTCATAAGATTCCCTGCACTTTGCCCAAAGTTTGGCTATGAGTCTCAGCATTTGCCTGGATACCCTGCAGGGTAGAGCCTTCCAGAGGCCCTCTGTGGAAGGCTCCTGTCCTGTTGCCTGTTTTCTCCCTCCTCTGATGTCCATCCTCTTTGTCTTTCTGAATGGGGGTTAAGCATCTTAGCCAGAGTCCTCCTTCCTGATTAGCTTCCTTAGGTGTACAGATTTTAGTATGTTTATCCTATATTGTAGGTCTAATATCCACTTATGAGTGAGTATATTCCCTTTTAAGACAGTGGAGTCCAGACTGCTTCACCTCAGTTCACATATATCTCTGCTTTTCTGTAACCTCAACTCTCCTTCTTTGACATCAAGAACAACCTCAACAAATAGTCTACGATAATTGCTCTTTCTTGGTAAACAGATAAGACCTCCTATCACACAAAACATAAGTTGTTACGACCTTGAGGTTTTTCTGGAAGGTTGACCAAGGTGGGAAGACCCACTGTGAATGTGAGTGGCGCCCTTCCATAGCCTGATGTCCAAACTGAGTGCAGAGGCGAGAGGAAGCAGAATACCAGTATTTCTCCTCACTCCACACCCACATCCACCTTCCTTCTCCCTCCTTCCCTCTTTCCCCTTCTCCTTGACTATGGATCCAAAATGACAATGACGAGATACTTCACATTCTGGTGATCATGCCTCCCCTACTATGGTAGGCTGTTTCCTGAAACTATGGTCCAAAATAATCCATTCTTAATTTACTTTTTTTCAGTTGTTTTGACACAATCAAGAAAAGTAACTAATACACAGTTCCTAACCTGGGAGCCAGCTGGCTTTATCCAACTGGAAGTATCACCACATAGTGTGAAAAGGTACACTGACAAAGAAGTATTAATTCTTATTCCAACTCTACCTCAAACAGCCACATTTTAATAGTGGTCACGCTCCTTAACAGCCATACTCCCTGTGAACTACTCTAATTCCAGGAGTTAAACCCAAAGAGTCCCAAAAAATCTATGTTTTCTCCATCCTGTCGTGTTTAAGTTACTAATGTATTCCAGAGGAACCTCTGCAACTCTCAGTGGTTCTGTGAAATTCATCCACACCTCTTTAAATATATTTTAAAACAATTTTATTTAAGATCTCAGGTGAATGTATTTCTGTTTGCCACCAGAATCCTCATTGCACAGCTATTAATCTCTAAGGCTTTACAATATGTTTCTTTAATTTGAAAATATATTTCTTACTTTGGCAATATCCTCACATTGTTTATGTTCCATTTAAGTTTATTAGAGAGGTAATAAGCATTTGGGGGTATTTAATAGGTAAAAAATTTTTCACAAAATTTAACAACTAACAGCATCCCATTTTTTGAAACAGAAATTCTACTACTTGAATCTGAGTGTTTAATGATACATCTTACAGAATACAAAAAGGAACCAAGATGACACAAAAAGATATTATAAGTGAGAAGGCCAGCCAAGTGCCTCACAAGCAGAAAAGAGGAAGGAGTAAGTCATGTGGAAGTACATCTCTGTGATGCTGACACTCTATACTGTCAAAATGATGTACTCAAGTTCAAATACATAACTGCAATTTCTTAATTTGTTGAAAAAGATCCAACTGCAGGATCCTTGGGCCCAGATTTTTGGCTTTCATGGAGAAACTTAGTTCCCCTGCCCAGATATAGCTGATAGGCAGCTCAGTCTCCATATGGGTTCCTGAGTAAGGGGAGAAGGGACTGTCTCTGTCATGAACTAGGATACCTGCATTTGATCACTTTCCACTGGCTATGAGGCTTTGCCAGGCCACAGAGGAAGAGGATCCAGGCAGTCCTGATGAGACTTAATAAGCTAGGGTCAGATGGCAGCAGGGAAGAACTTCCCCTTTCATTTGACTAGGGAAGGGGTTGGGGGGAAGAAAGAGGGAGGGTGGGACCAGGTGAAGATGAGGGAAGAAGCTACAGTTGTGAAATAAATGAATAAATTGTAAAAAATAAAATAAATAAAAAGAAAGAAAAAAGTCCAAACTGCAGAGATTAATTTAAGTGATCTTGATGATACAATATTTTTTTTAATTTTAATTTTAACTTTGTTCACAATTTATTCATTATATATCCTGATTAAAGCACCCTCCCTCAACTCCTCCCAGCCCCACCCTCCCTTCCTCTTCCTACCCTTCCCCTAGTCTATTGAAGAGGGGGGAGTTCTTCTCCTCTGCCATCTGCACATAGTTTATCAAGTCTCATCAGGATTCCCTGGATCCCCTTCGTCTGTAGCCTGGCAGGAACACATTGCCAGGGGCAAGTGATCAAAGAGTAGGCAACTGAGTTCATGAGAGAGGCAGCCCCTGCTCACCTTACTCATGAACACATGTGGAGACTGAGCTGCCAATTGGCTAGATCTGAGCAGGGGTCTAGGTCCTCTCCATCATGGTCCTTGGTTGGTGCATCAGTCTCTGCAGGACCACCTGGGCTCAGAATTTTAGCTTTGCTCATCTCCTTGTGATGTTCCTGTCCCCCCCATATCCTTCCATCCCACCCCCTCTTCTTCCACAAGACTCCCTGTGCTCTGCCAAAGTTTTAATGTGTTTTGATTCACTGTTGTGTGGAGCCTTTCAAAGGACACTTCATAGTAGGCTCCCATCCTGTTTCCTCTCTTCCACCTCAACATCCTTAGTTATCAGGGAGATGCAAATCAAAGGGACTCTGAGATTCCATCTTACACCTATCAGAATGGCTAAGATCAATAACTCAAGTGACAGCATATGCTGGAGAAGATGTGGAAAAAAAGAACCCTCCTCCATTGCTGATGAGAATGCAAACTTGTACATTCACTTTGGAAATCACTCTGGCACTTTCTCACAACACTGGGAATAACACTACCTCAAATCCAGCTATATCACTCTTGCACATATACTCAAAAGATGCCCCACCCAACAAGGGCATTTGCTCAACTATGTGCATAGCAGCATTATTTATAAGAGCCTGAATCTGGAAACAACCCAGATGTCCCTCAACAGAGGAATGGATGCAGAAATTGTGACACATTTACACAATAGAATACTACTCAGCTATTACAAACAAGAAAATCATAAAATTTGCAGGCAAATAGTGGGAACTAGAAAAGATCATCCTGAGTGAGGTATCACAGAAACAGAAAGATCGGCATCGTATACCCTCACTTATAAGCAGATATTAGATGTATAATATAGGATAGCCATACTAAAATCTACAGACCTAAGGAAGCTAAATGCTAAGATGATATTATATTGATTCATATGCTTGCTTATTTTTTAAATGATATTGGTTCTAAATGTGCATCTTTTCCTCTTTTGTTTTTATTCATTTTTAAATGCAATGTCTAAAAGTATTATAATATAAAGCCAATGCCTGCCTTTATAGATCAAGCTCCCATTCTGTCTCTCTCTCTAAAGACTAATTCAACATATTTTCCTTAGATAGAGGACACGTTAGATATTAAACTGATAAAAACCAAGTATTACATTTGATGTTAGCCCAGAGGCTGAAAAATATTAGATCTATAGATTAGATCTGGCTCAAAAGGGCCAATTTTGATCTTAGATTGATATATGAAAATATTATTGTTGCATTGCTTAAAATAGAGAACATTTACAGAAAGGCTTGATAACACTCATAAGATAAGCTTATTAGCCTTATAAATACCCTTTTGTAAAAGGCACAGGACTAGAGAAATGGGTAATAGAATGCATTGGTCCTATAGAGGATCTGAGTTCAATTCACAGCATTCTCTTTAGATTGGTTACAACTTTGTATATCCTCATCTGGATTCTGCAGATACCTGCCCTCATGTGTCCATGGACCCATAAACAGACAACATGGCATAGTTTAGACTCATCTAGAAAGAAGAAACTTCAATGGAAAATGTGTCTCACCAGATTGCCTATAAGAGAACTATGGGCATTTTATTGATTACTAACTGAGGAGTGGAGGCTCAGCACACAAGGGAAATATCACACCTGAACAGGTGGCCTTGTGATATATAAAAAATACAATCTGAGAAACTTATGGGGAGCTAACCAGCATGCAGTGTCTGGGCGCCTGCTTAAATTCCTGCACCTATGATTCTACTTGACTTCTCTAGATGATGAGCTGTGTTCAGGACAGGTAATCCAAACAAACTTTCCTTTCCCTAAGTTGTGTTTGGTCATGGTGTTTTTTCACAGCAATAGAAAGGAAAATATACAACACATAATTTAAAATAAAATAAATTTACAAAATAAATAAAATGTATGTATGTATAGATAAACTAAAAGTATTGTGTCATCTGCATGCATTTGGACTATTTGTTAAAGCATTTTCCAAAAATACACATTTGGAGATTCAATATGTCAATTATTTTTGTGGCATAATTGTGTATACCTGAGTGGACAAGTTGGAGTAAACCCTAGCAAAGTACTGTTCATTGTTTTAAAAACAAAATAAAAATAAAAATATTCATTTAAGATTCTACTTCTTTCTCATAAATGTCTTTTCACAAGATGATAACATATCAAATAAAAAAAATGTTTTGTTAGACATTTTTGAAACTTGGGCTAACAGAATGGCTCAGAGAGTAAAAATGCTAGCTTTGTAAGCCTGACAACCAGAATTGAATCAACAAAACCCACCATGGAAGGAGAGTCCTACAAGTTATCTTGTGATCATTGACAATTCTATATTCATGCTACAGCATGCACACACATCCACACACCATCAGCACATACACATCAACACACATAAACACAAGCACACACACAGAGACCCCCTCACCACACATACACACACACACACACACACACACACACACACACACACATTATAATAATGTGTGAAGTTTCTGAAACATTAGTTTTCACTGAGCAGCTTCTGAAATCTTTATTACTTCAGAAACTAGAGGAAACAAAGGTCATCTGTCAATCAGTTTTTGGAAATTACTCAGCTAAAAATCAGAGTACACTTTATTTTTTGAGATAAAGCTATGGTCTTTGCCATTAAAAAAACTGTAAAACTAAGACATACAAGAAGTTTAGTAACTTGTCCAAAGTTATGCAGCTAAGAAGTTGTAGAACTTGGTATTCAAACTGTTTATTGCAAGATCCCATACACTTCAAATGAACAACCATGTGTATATGTTGCCCACGAAATGCCAGTTGTTCAGGAAAGTTTCTACATTAACAGAAGTTAATGCCATTAAGCTCATATTCATAAAGTATGTAAGTTTAATATTTAAAAAAAAAAACTTGAAGAATATTTTATTCTGGCACAAATGCCTCTGTTATTGGGAAGCAAACAAACCACAAAGAATTTTCCACATCTTTTTATATAAGGTTCTAACAGGGCTGAGGAATTTATAGATTTACCCCTGTTTGAGCTAAAACAGCCAGTAGCTGTTTCTTTTTTTTTTTTTTTAATTTTATTTTTCTTTATAGTTACATTTTGTTAACTCTGTGTCCCAGCTGTATCCCGCTCCCTCATTCCCTCCCCAACCCCGCACTCCCTCCCTGGTCTCCTCCCTGCCCCTTTCCAAGTCCACTGATAGGGGAGGACCTCCTCCCCTTTCATTTGACCCTGTTTTACCAGGTATCTTCAGGGCTGGCTGCAAAGTCCTCCTCTGTGGCCTAACAGACTGCTCCTCCCCTGGGGGGGGGGGTGTCAAACAGCCTGCCCTTGAGATTTTGTTAGAAATAGCCCTTGTTCCCCTTACTTTGGAAAACTACTTGGTTACTGAGCTACCACAGGCCACATCTGAGCAGAAGTTCTAGGTTATATCCATAGATGGTCCTTGGTTGAGTGTCAGTCTCAGAAAAGACCCTGTGCCCGGATATATTTGGTCCTTGTAGAGCTCCTATCCTTTCCATATCATACTAATAGGCAGCCAAAGATGAAGTGACTAGGTTTCTAAGCTTTCTTGTGGTACATGCCAAAGCTATGAGTTAAAGAACGGTTGAGGTCATTTGATTGTCTGTAGAAGAAAGAAAAGTTAGTATCATGATTTTAGAAAACAATAAAGAACATCCAAACATCCTGAAGACACATATTATAATGCCAAAGCCAAATGTGTGATTTTTTTTTTAAGAATGAAAACAGTAGTCCCTCTATGAATAATCACATTGTTAGGCCTGTGCATTTGGTACCCCAGAAGCAATATGTTAGGACATGCTGGCTTCAGAAGTTTCCACCACACTTCCTCCTCTTTGCATCATCTCACTCAGCATTAATCAAGGCTGGACTGGGTTTTGACAAGAAAAAGATCCTCACTTTGCCACTAGTACTTTCCAGATGATCATATAATTTTGTCAAAGGAGATCTCTGTGCTCCCAGGCGAAAACACTATGTAAATTGCAAACACACATTAAGGGTGAAAACAACATACTTTCCTTCTGTCTTCAGGTATAAGCATTCATAATTCTTATTATAATTCATTTAATCAGACATACGAGTTTAACTGTAAGGCATTTTACAACATCAAAGCAAATTACTCTTTGTTCTTACTTTCTTACTTCTGCTTTTTTTTTTTATCAGGGAAATTCCTAAAGTTGTTAAAACAGATTTCCAATAAGCCTTAAACACAGGATTAAGAGCACATATAAAACTATGACTCATTCCCAAATTATCATCTAAATATATTTTAAATAAGGGAAGAAATGAATATTTGGGCATTTAATTCTACTGAATGAACAGAACCCAGTGAAGAATTATTGAGGGTTCAAGATTTAATGGAGAAAAGAAACAGAAAAAGCAACCTGTTTGGGGGCTTGGAAGATGACAAATTTAATAAAGTAGTTTCTAGGAAAGCATGAGAACTTGAGTTGGAGTGCCAGAATTCAGAACAGATTATGTCTGAAATAACACACCAATCAAGAAACACTCCAAAACACCCTAAATTCCAAACTTATTTCTGGAATCTATGCAAGACTCATATTTTAACATTTTTAATTATTAAAATTTATTCACTTTGTATACCAGCTGTAGCCCATTCCCTCATCCCCTCCCAAAACTGCCCTCTCTCCCTTTTCTCCTTCTATGCCCCTTCCCCAGTCCACTGATAGGGAAGGTCCTCCTCCCCTTTCCTCTGACCCTAGCTTATCAGGTCTCATCATTACTGTCTGCATTGTTTTCCTCTGTGGCCTGGTAAGGCCACCCCACCTCAGGGGGAAACAATCAAAGAGCAAACCACTCAGAGACAGCCGCTGTTCCTATTACTAGGGAACCCACGTGGAGACTGAGCTACAATGGCCTGTATCTGTGCAGAGTTCTAGGTTATCACCATGCATGGTCTTTGGTTGGAGTATCAGTCTCAGAAAAGACCCCTGTGCCCAGATTTTTTGGTTCACTTACTCTCCTTGTGGAGCTCCAATCTTCGCCAGGTCTTTCTGTCTCCCCCTTATTTCATAAGATTCCCTGCACTCTGCCTAAAGTTTGGCTATGAGTCTTAACATCTCTACCCAGTAGGGTAGAGTCTTTCAGAAGCCCTCGGTGAGTAAGCTCCTGTCTTGTTCCTTCTTTTTACCCTCTTCCAATATTTATCTCATTTGCCTTTCTGAATGAGGATTGAGCATCTTACCCAGGTTCCTCCTTCTTGCTTAACTTCCTTGGGTGTACAGATTTTAGTATATTTATCCTATCTTATAGGTGTAGTATCCACTTATAAGTGAGTATATACCAAGTGTGTCTTTCTATCCCACCATTTACCTGCAAATTTCGTGATTTCCTTGTTTTTAACTACTGAGTAGTAAATATACCACACTTTGTATCCATTCTTCAATTGAGGGACATCAGGGTTGTTTCCAGATTCTGGTTATTACGAATAAAGCTGCTACGAACATGGTTGAGCAAATGTCCTTGTTGTGTACTTGAGCATATTTTGGATATATGCTTAGGAGTGATAGAGCTGGATCTTGAGGAAGCACTATTCCTAGTTGTCTGAGAAAGCACCAGATTGATTTCCAAAGTGGTTGTAAAGTTTACATTCCCACCTTTTTCCACATCCTCTCCAGCATGTGTTGTCACTTGAGTTTTTGATCTTAGCCAAGAATGGCTAAGAAGATGGGTGTAAAGTGAAATCTCAGGGTCATTTTGATTTACATTTCCCTGATGACTAAGGACATTGAGCATTTCTTTAAGGGTTTCTCTGCCATTCAGCATTCCTCTGTTGAGAATTCTCTGTTTAGCTCTGTACCCCACTTTTTAATTGGATTGCTTGATTTGTTGCTTTTTATCTTCTTGAGTTCTTTATATATTCTGGATATTAGACATCTGTCAGATATAGGGTGGTGAAGATTCTTTCCCAGTCTGTAGGCTGTTGTTTTGTTCTGACAACAGTGTCCTTTACTTTACAGAAGCTTTTCAGTTTCATGAGGTCCCATTTATTGATTGTTGCTCTTAGAGCCTGTGTTGTTGGTGTTCTGTTCAGGAAGTTGTCTCCTGTGTCAATGAGGTCAAGGCTCTTCCCCACTTTTTCTTCTAACAGATTTAATGTGTCTGGTTTTATGCTGAGGTCTTTGATCCACT